TTTTGATTTCAACCAATCAGCGCCGACGCAAATGACGTCCCACACGACAACAGTTAAGCTAAGTTAGCCGAGACGACACTCGAAGTCAGACGGACACGATTTTCTGCCAATCTGTGTTTTTCCCTTTTTGGCCAAATATATTTTTTACGACAACTTTCTTGTCCACGGCGTCTTTTATTCGTTCCACTGGGGTTTAGCAGGTGTGTTTATAAAGAGACGAAAAATGTTTGGGGACTATCCCCCATGTTCTAGTTGAGATGGTATAACCCAAGAGGCAAAATGACGCTTGCTACTGTTGTTGCGAGTTGCCATTCGTTCTACTAAACCATTAGTCAAACGCCATCATGTCTTCTGTCGTTATTACATAAACAAAAATCTCTTTACTGTTACTAGTGTTAGTGCCTCAATATGGCTACGCTCGTGAAAGCAATACAACGAACTCAAACGCGTCTTCGTTCAATGTTGTCAACTAATATCCGGATTAATTTTATGCAAATTTTCCTCAATTCTCCGGAGAAATTTTCATAAAAATTTGAAAAACCCGGAATTCCGGGAAAATCCGGAGGACCTTCATCTCTGCAGTATATTTTTTGATATTGTACTGTATGTGAACAAAATGTTTTGCAGGTAAAAGAAATGACTCGAGCAAACAACCTACAATCTTATCCAATTCTGACTGACTAGGCAGATTCGTGGCATATTTGTGCATCAGACTCGAGGATAAAGAAGAATAGATATGGCTTTATTTAAAACTTAAGGAACCATGTCTCCTCGTAAACGACATCAATCAACCCCAATTTGACGACACGAAGAACTCTAACATCACACCTCATTGACCATGTAAAAGAGTAACGATAACTAAACATTTTTGGGTTATACTGGATTTCATTCATCACAAGCTGCATTGCAACTGGTAAGGAAAGATATGACTATACTGATCCCTGATAATTTGAACTTTATTTTTCACCACATCAACTTTAATGTCCTTTCCTTACCTAGACAACATTGCCGTTTTTTTTTGGGGGGGGGTGGGGGGTGGGGGGGTTACTTTCAACTGTAACACTTGGAGGTGTGACCTTGGGTGCTTCAAATGTGACATTTGCAACTTGCCAGCAGTCTGGATCGCAACAAATATCCATACACGGCAATGGCGAGTGATGAAAAAAGAGGAAGGGGCGTGGCCTGGACGGGGGTGTGGCCTGGACGGGGCGTGGTTACTTACAAAAGTGGCACTAAACATGCTGAAGATGAAGTGTATTAAATTTACACAGTTTGAAAATTGAACAGAAAAAAATCCCAAGATCGCCACTATTCTTTCAAGTGAAAATTTGTGCAATTTTGCCTATGCATTCCTGGTGAGCACCAATATGTAACTCCAAATTTGCTGCTCAAAATCAAAACTAAAAAAGTAAACACATCCCCTGCCATATTTAAGATTTGTTCATGACTTGTATTCATAAAGTGTTGTGTAAATGTGATAAAAAGCTGTTGATTCTTACCTCATACAGTGATAGTGAATATTTATTATGCATACAATT